CCAGAGTGGTGCGGAGTATGCTCAGCATGCCCAAAAATTGCCTAAGCATGCCCAAAGCATGTTTGACTCAGAAAAAAAATTGTATTATTCTACAATTTATATGCGAAATTCAAATGAAATTCGCTCAGCTATCAATAATAACAACAACCAGTCGATTATTATAATTTCAAGAGCAAGAAGCAAGCTATATCCAAAATGCAATGTACAATATATCGTTCACTCACTATTGTTTAGTCTCATGCCTTTTGGATTGTTCACACAATGTACTGTGGCTTATCTTCCATGTATTTACATAATCGCAATATTGTCGCGTCAGTAGATTTGCGATCAACAGTTCAATCAGCTGATAAACAAACTGCTTAAAAAATTTCAAAGAATTCTGTGTTTGCAATCCAATGCATTATGTCAACTGTTTTAACGGTATATGACTAAATGAAAACAATCGCTTGCTCATGATTAATCATAATCGATCGGCGTTCTAGCTGCTGCCGAAAATTGAGCGAACTTCATTTGAGTTTCAATTGTTGAATTGCAAACATTGTGTTCGAAATGAATAAAAAATTAAAACAAGAGACTATTGTTGGTCTCTTTCAGAGAAATGGTATGTAGGACTTAAATTGTAGTGATTCAAATGTAATTTTGACTTTATGTGATAAAAATATATTATAAATATCAAATGCCGCCGTTGAATCCGCTTTGACTACAAGTGCTTTGGACACAGCATCACGAACTAACGCTCCAAAAATAGCTTCAAACAGTGATCAACCAGTCTCTGATAATGCAAGTGAACGAGATAAAGTGGCGAATATCGATTTGGAAACAAGTGCGCGCAAACCGTCCGAAATAAGTAAATATTTCGATCACGAAGACTACCACAATATTTAAATGATTACGTTACGGGTTTGAGCACCGAAGATGAGCCGCGAAAAGGGGTAGAAAATGCGTTCAATCAAACTATTCAGGAAGTTCTTTCTGAAAATGAAATATTGTTAGCATTGAGCACAGCATATGAAATTGATTTGAACAAAATGAAGCCACTTTTATCCCTTGGTGTAAATTTGCCTGATGAGAGCAGCATCAACGTAGCCAAACAATATTTACAGATAGAGGAGGCAAAGTCAAAACAAAATGATCCAGACTATAAATTTAATGTCTTAGAAGAATTATATAAAATTCGTATCGCGGTTCCCGATGTTTATGATTTTTTCTGCATGGTCGAAACGTTTGGATCGAGCACAGCTATAAGTGAGTCATCTTTTTCGTGTTTGTCGCGAATACGAACAATCAAACGTATGTCAATGAGTGAGCAACGAATGTACGATCTTTCATTTTTGGCCTTTGAAAATTAATATTTACACGCAATTCCGAATGGACGTATTCTTAAGTATTTTTTTGATGAAAAGCAACGTAAAATTAATATTCTTTAAGAAAACATAATAATCATAACAATCATTGCACGCATTTTATTCAATAAATATTTTTATCTGGAAATATGGTTTTGTTATAGTTTATCTGGAAATTTTGTTTTTTTTTGGATGCTCAGCATGCCCAAGCATTACGTTCTGGTTACGGCTCTGTATGTCACGCAGCTCGTTATTCTGTTGACTTGATTATTTCGCACTTAACAGAATGATAAACGAGAAAAAAAATGGCGAAATAGGGCTCAGTTGAAAATTTAATGACGAAATAGAGACCAATTGAAAATTTAACTATGAATTCATTTTTAAACATTCGTAATGACAACAACATCCACGAAAATTAGCTAAAACACTTCAAATCTATTAATCGACATTTTTTCTACGGTTATTTTCAATTGTCCCGAAATAATGGCAGCGATTTGAATGGAGTGGTAACAATAATGGTAATTGTGACGCAGATTTGAGGTGAACCATGAAAAAAAAAGAAAAACAGAAGCAAATTTAAGGTCGGTAAACAAATAGAATGACGTTCTTATAAGAAGATTTTTATCGAAATACTGTATTTCAAATACACATTCTTGTCTGAATCGGGATTTTAGAAAACATTATTTCGACATAACATTTCAAACTTTAATCAGAAACAGAAGAATGTCAGTATGAACTTTATACTATGACATCTCTTTTAAAAAAATGGAAAACTTCAAAGTTCGAAAAGTAAACTAATCAATTGCCCAAATCCCAATTGACGATATTTTGAAATGAAAAATCCACAATTTGGCAGCAAAAGCATATACTACTAGCGACATCTGGTTGCACGCTATAGAAATGCCTGTTTGTATACACTTGACGTTAATTTCAACACATTACTATATTGGGCAACAAGGTGTCGCCTGTAGTATATTGCTCTTTGCTGTCACGGTGTGGAAAAATCAAATTCTTTCAACAAAAATCAAATGAATTAACATGTTACATCGCAAAACCACATGGGAAACCACAATGCAATCATCAGAAACATACTGTTTGCGGCTAAATTCAAACTTAAATAACCAACACAATGAACACGAGTCAAGCTGCCTTAACCAACTGCCGCCTTAAGATGGCTTCCTACATAAATGATGAGTTCTTAACCAAAATTACGATTATCCCCTTTGAAACATGTCAATTTTTAATATTTTAATGGGAAAAAAATATATATATAGAATATTGGTGCTGAGTTTGCCACAGGAATTATGTCCAAGTCGTGAATATGTTCATTTATAAAATTTATGATCTCATTCCCAAATGAGAATGAAAAAAGTACTTTACCACAAAAAGAAGAAGAAAAAATTTCATCAAATTTTCACTCATATATTCTGGAAAAGAAATCGGTCATATTGAAGGCTATGCTATGAAGGCAAATTGAATACAAAATAGCAATATATTTCTTTGTTTCACTTGATGAATTTTCCCAAAAGTATTGGCAAAGCCATCTAAAAATTATTCGAATGCTCATATCAATTGGATTAAATCTATGATTAATATAAGCTCGGTTCGGAGTTGGCAGTAAAATTAAAAATCAATTTCATGCGAAAAACCCCAACTTACATTCCAACACCATAATTGAATATTTCCATTGTTACTATATTTTTTTTAATGGGCGTCATTCAATTGAAATCGAGCTTTTAACGAAACGAATTTTTTTTCCCTGAACAAATTGTTACGGTATCGTGTTAGTTATTTCTTCTTTTTCTGTAAAATGCGAACAACACACTGGTTTATGGTAGTTGATTGGTTGCCGTAACAATTGCATGATTTCCAAATGAAATCCCATCAAATAATCATTGGAAATTAATATGCGTGGTCATGTTTTGTGCATGTAGAGAGCGAATAAAAAAAGTATCAAACTCATGGGTATAATGTGTTGTGTGTGCAAAGCGTCAGTTGTAATTAGTTTATGTTCATGTGAAAATTGACGGAAGTTAAAAAACGTAAGTGTTTATATTATGGAATGAAGAGAAAGAAAAATGGCCGGGCAAATCCGTTGGCAGGATGAATATAAGTGCATTAATTAGTGCATATTTGATTGGCACCAATGGCTTCAACGCCACTAATGTAATTAAATAAACGCATGCAGTTACCTATTTTTTCAGCCTAGTCGGAATGTTAGCATCGACCGAATGAATAAAAAAACAATGCGATCGCGAGCGATAAAAAAAGCTATAAAAAATGATTTGCATAATGCTCAAAGTAAAAAAAAAAATCAAAAGAAAAATGGCAATGGCTGAGAAAATAGTTTAGTTTTACCCAGAAAATATGTGCAAGTGCATATATGTTCAACACTTGATTCTCATGAATTGCGAAATCCGTAAACGGAACGAAAAGAAAATGGAAAATCAATAGCCACATTCATAATGTTTATCGAATTAAAGACCGAAATCGCAATCGAAAATCCGTCCAGCCAACGAACGCAAATACATAACGCTCGGATATTTGCATAAAATCGCCGCGAATACGATGAAAAAAAAAACGTCCAAACATTCGACAAGCATGAATATCGTTTCATTTGCCTATCTATATCTGGTATATAAGCCAGACCACGCCTCAAAGTGGAAGGCAAAAAAAAGAACAGATATACAGTTCGATCGCGAAACGATATAAATTTGCCTAATAAATGGAATGCAAGTATTTTATGCATGCAATATTTTTCGACGTTAATTGACCGATTTGCAAACATAATTGCCATCAACAGACGAAGAAAGAAAAATGAAAGCAGCACAGCAACGTTGCGGTATTTTAACTGAAACAAGGCGAAAGATAAATATCGCTTGTTCCTTCTAATAAATCGTTTCGGTGCAAAAGAAGGAGGAGCTCACGCGCTGTTTACATAGAGTGATGCGAACGAGCGAGAGCGAGAGATCATGTGAACAACACGCGTCTAATCGAATATGACAGCGTTATTTACCCAAATTACATAAAACAAATTAAACGGCAAATCGAAACGCCGGCTTATCACCAACACAAAAACCACCACACGCACACATCAACAGGGTATTATCTCTGTCTTTGTCTGACGAGAGAATCTCGTTGGAATACCTTCTGGTGTATCGTGCATTGCACTCTTATTACCACATTCCAATGTTTAGTCGTTGTAGCCCTTTGTATTGGTAATGCGATCGCGTGTGTTGGCCCACGAAGCGCACACCACTTCCACACAACCGTCTCTTTTACCTGTGTGTGTGTGTATTGAGGAAGCGATCATACACTAACAACCTGTGCTCCAGCACAGCATATCGCGTGTAAATTATATGGTATATCGTTGCAACTGGAATGGATAGCTCATGGCAGCGTTCACATGTGTGTATGAATAATTGTGCCTGCTTTTTACCTGTGTAGTTGTTGTCATGACACGAACGTTTTGTGTTGGTACCCAACACACATCATTCCATCTCACTTGCGCGTTCGTTCATCATTCGCCTCGCCGCTTTTTGTATTTATCAGTTTTCTTCATCCATTCCGTTCTGCTGCTACTACTACTTCATCTCACTCGGCTGAGTCACGGTGCGATAATGCTTTACCTGCCGTCGTTTTGTACAACAATGATTAGTTGTAGTTCAGCGTTCGTTTTGCGTGGTTTTGAATTCTTTTTTGTGTTGAATAAACGTTGAGTGGTGTTGCACTCATCGTCTTATACCTTTTTTTCGGTTCAATTTCATCTTCACGAACCGAACCGAACCAAGTGTTAACTGTTTTGCTCAACAATATTTAACGTTGCTCATCAATTTGAACATTTTGTCATCGGTTTTTTTCTTCCTCATTGGCGAGAGATTTTACCTTTTTTTTCGGTGTGTTCATGCGCATTATTGGCATTTTTATTCGCGCTCACCCAAACTCGTGATTACTCGTTCGATTCATTTTTAACGATTGAAAAACACTCATGAAACGTGCCTTACACTGACGCACAAGCAATAAAACACTTTATCGAACACTGATAACAACTGCATTGCACAAGTCATAGAAGAGAAAAAAAATAATAGAAATTTAATTGACACAAAGTAAAAAACGAAAGGATTTTGTGCAAGACTACGGCCAATAACTAGCCAATTTGTTGGAATTAATTAAAAGTTTGAGTGCTTTGAAACAGACGTGAGAGAGTTGTGTGTTCAAGTGAATGTGCTGACGGTTTACGTTTTTGGGCGAAGAGAGAAAAAAACGCCGCAACGGGAATAGCTCGAAATCTCAACTGATTTTGAACCAGAAGATCAGCAAATTCTACCAATAAAAATATCATCAACATTTAACTTTTATTTCCGTAAGTGAACACTTGAGTTTTAATTAAAATGTTGCATTTTATTTACTCAGTTTTTGATGTTACGACTAGGAAGTTATCGGTTAGAAAATTCCCCGACGGTAAATTTTATGACAAACTTACGAAGTTTAAAACGATTCGGGAAAGAGGTACAAATTCTTTACGATTGAAAAAATGAAACACAAGTTCTACATGATGTAAAAACGAGATACGACAAAAAAGTTTCAAATGACAAAAAAGAGAAACACATTTTAAACGATTCAAAAGAGACCTCACAAGTTTTTCCATAAAAAATGCAATAGACGTTTTTGAGTGATTTACAACCAACACGACCATTTTATGCTAGAATCCCGTTTTCAATCATTTTTTTTCAACACATAACTGCCAATTCATTTTGTGTAATGCAAATGTGACAAGCAATAAACATTTAAATTACATTCAAACTCAACTTCCCACTATGTGTAGTCAATTTGCATTTGAAACGACTCATTTCTTGTTGAATGATACATTTTTAATAGTTTTACATTTATTCTTTTGTTTTACTATCGACATATTATTTGAGGTCTGTTTGGACTCAGAATTTTTTATCAGAGTGAGCCTGTATTCAAATTCAAGTGTTGGTCTTTCGCGAAATTCATTTTAAAATGTTTTACTCCGAAATGTGTTTCAAATGGATCGATCCATGATCGTATCATAAATTTTGCCATCTTTATTGTAGGTACAAGTTCCAAATTCTGGCTGGTTAAATCGATAAAAAACACATTGAAATTCACAAACGAATCAGGATGATAACATTTCATTGAGTCGAATGCCATTTGCAATCGCATAAGATCAAATGATCTTGTCGGCAAAAAAAAACAAATCTATGGGTGAGATTGAGGGCGGTGTATGTTTCACAAAGTTTTTATTGGAAAAAGTAGAATATGTTTTTAAACGGTGAGCAAATCTGGCAAATTTGGCAATTTTTTTCATTTATTTCAACAGTCATTTGATAATTGTAATTTTTTGCAAAGTTGTAGGTACAAGTACAACAATTTCTGCAAAGACACCAATTCGATATTTCTTGTCATTTGAATGAAAATCGCCAGAAGTGAAACATACTCTACTTTATCAAAATATGAGTCGACAAAAAACATACACTACTCTCAATCTCACCCGTAGAAATTCAATTCTATTTATCTACCGCAACAATCAAATAAGTGTAATAATAAATATGTTTTCACACCAAAAGATTGTTCTAAATTTAACAAAAGATCACTGACTCAATTTGGTTGAAGTTCAGCAGCTGAACAGTTCAGTCTGAAAAAAATTTGATTTCTTTGTTGTTCCTACGAATTCAATGTTGACGAGTTCAATGAAATTTAGAACAAAACAACCACGAAAATAGATACGAGATGGTTTTCTCTTCTCTTTCAAATTGCTTTTAAAGATGATTATTTTATTGCATTGCAAATATAAGATAAATCCCAAGATCAATGTGATAAAAACTTTAAAAGAATTAGCTTCTCGGAAGAAGAACCTACTTTTTAACCCATTGAATTTTTTTAAACTCATAACGTAGAACATTTTTATGCAAAATGTTGGAAAAAAAAAGTCCAGCGATTCCTGTACAAAATGTTTGAAAAGTGAGTTAAAGAGAAATCCAAATACAAAAATGGGTTAAAAACCAAAACTAGAAGAAAAAACTGCATTTAATCCGTTTTCTATAGTCCGAAGCAAATGGTGTTTTTGACAAAAATCTCCCATGATTATAAATTCGCGCGGATTTGATTAGCATATAAATCATCAAAATTCATCAAAATACCATGTGGCATTTCGATAACAGGTTTAGTGAACTGAACAAAATCGATAGATACTAATGAATGATTAAAAGGCTATTAGTTGATTTGGGATCGTATCGGAAACGATTTCTAATCATCTCAAAAAATTGAACTGGAAATTTGCCACTCACCATCATAGGTGACTTTATCCCATCGTCCAACTGACCAAAAATTGAAGTCTACGAATTGATAAAATGTACTTTTCGGTACACCGAAAATGAATTGATAAAAAATCCTCGTCAAAAATTTGCCAACGGAAAAAATTGGCCTGAAACAAATGAAAAGTATTCCTCGAATACAATTCAGTGTATGTTTGCCTGCGATTTGCATGCTGATTGCGTTATCCTTCTGGTAAATCGCTTCTGGGCATAAAAATCGGAATGTGAAATGAATTATTTCTCAATTCTCATAAATTGAATTTGACGATTTAAGTGCTTCCCGACTCGTGTGTGTGCATCCCACATTTCGTGCAAGCAGCTAGAGAGAGGAGAAAATAAAAAGAACGCCAGCCTCCGAATGACATGGTTTATGATTATTATCCTTGTGATCATAAATTTTGCCATTTTTCCAAAGTCAATTTGAAAGGGCGATACATTTGCACTCACTCTCTCCCAGCGAGACGATGCAACATTTGGCCTGCGCCATTTATTCATGGCAATATGTGAACTGACACACACACACATACATACTGGTAAGAGGCGAGTGGTCATACACTGGTCACATCGAAATAAATTCACGTGTCAAAGTAATACAATGGTCATCCTGTGTGTGTTTTGGCTTTGAACAGAAAAAAGGCAGAGCTCATGGCTTGTGCAAATAAATATAATTTGCTGATATATTCGGTTGGTGTGGCGGCGCAACCGAATAACGATAGCACTTCATGCAACAAAATAAACAAATAATACAAATAAAAACCATTTTTTTCCGGTGCTCCGTTTAATTTCAACATGCATCCAACGTTCCATCCATTCATAAACTGCCGAGTTTTTGTTCGTTTTGTGTTAAATCACTGAAACTCTCGAAACCAATTTCATTGGCCAACGTTTTTTCTTCGTTAATTTCGTTGTATTATACATCAATTTTCGGTTTTTATGATTTACATTTTATGATCTTCAACCGATCGAAGAGGTAAGTGTTTTTACCGTGGCAATAGGAAACATCGACCGAAAAGGAGAAAAAACGAAAAAAAAGAATTGTAACGCTTCATCATTCGCAAACGTAAAAAAAGATATAAAATGAATGTTTTTTTTACCCGAGCACCACAGTTAATAAAGCACAAGCAAAGTATCAAGAAGAAGAAAAACCGAAACGCAATCGTTAAGACGAGCCAAAATCATAAATTGTTCGAGACAGTCAATACCAGAAGTCAACTGGAATCACAATCGATACACATGTATGATACACGTTTCGGTGTATGGGGCACATCGCATGCAGCCCATGCATAAGCATGGCTTGCTGGCTGGCTTGCTCGACTTCGTGGCCGTATGTCAAATTTATTGAAGCGATCAATAAATTACATCGCACCGGTGCCGTCGTCTCGAGACTATACAACAAAGCAAGTAGCAGCAACATTGCGCACAGATGCACACACACATCGATCGATGGACACACATAAAATCATATTTCGCTTATTCAATTCCGAATTTCGTCCGTAATTCAATTACACTTTAGTTTGACCGTTTTACTTTGTTTATAACATGGCATAGACAATTTATGGCAATGACGTGCGTTGTAGTTTTGCACACGATGAGATTGATTAGCATTCGTTGATGGGAACGAATATTTTAATCAGAAAAATCGATCAATTCACTTGACCAAACTGGTTTGTCGTTCGATCGCTTAACCAAAGTGGACTGATTTTTCATTCATTCAATTTGACATAATTTTTCTTTCTTCTTTTATTTCACAACAAATTAATTCGAAAATCTTCATTTTTCGCCGCAAGGATTCACTTGTAACGATTTATATCATACACACTTTCACCACTTCAACTTTGTTGTGTGATGCAACCGTTATTATACAATGCGTAGAGACGAATTTTGTACTCACACCGTTCATTATTTTAACGGTTTATCCGGCTATAAAACGTCGCCTGAAATCAAGATAATCACACAAATTGGATAAATACACTCCTTGAGCTTCTTCATCAAAACGGAGGCTTCTTGTAAACAGAGGCGACTCTGGCGACTTATAAAGGGCGATTTATTTTCTTTTCTTTGGACTTCACTTTCGAATAATGCTGAAAAGGCGACAAAAACGCTTCTATAAAGTTATATTTTTTTTTTTGTGAAGAAAGAAAAGCATTTAACCATCGGATTTACTCTGATTTTCACAAAATCCTCCTTTTTTGAAGCAAAAAGAGTGATTTTGGCTGTTGTTCCAGTGTGAATTGCACATTTTTTATCGAAAAAGGAGCGGAAAAAGGGAAAAAAAACCGCCGATGACAAGATCTTGATTAGTTCAGGTCAAGCAAATTATCAAAATGATCCGCATTTGTGCGCACAACTGTTTCACAGGCGGTTCGATACACCGGTGATGTTGTTTCCAAATTAACCAATCAACAGCACATACACACAGATGATGTTTATGATCGAGTGTGTATCGGAAGAATAAACTCATGATATATTCTTGTTTAGTGAGCTCGTATATTTTTGGTGTGCTTCACTCTTCAAATTCCAATGAATCGCCGTAAGCGGCCATCGGATTATAAATATCTACCTGCCTAAATCACATTTTACGTTTCGATCATCTTGAAAAAGTTGATTTACTACACACTTTTATGTGTTCGGATCATTACTGCAAGTTTTTTTTTTGTTCATACTCATTTTCAGTTCCTTCTTCAGTATATTTTTTTTTCTCGATGGAGTGTGGGTCATTTCTTAGCTAAAGACTGTGTTGATTGATGAGTTGAAAATGAATTAATGGATTCAGTCCGATGCAGGAATAACAATTGAATTAGTCGTGTGTGTGTGTGTTTTTTGTGTTGTTCGAGTCGGTCGAATTTTAAGAATGGCTAATTTATTACATTACTCATTTGTGATCGCACAACCACAGTAAATTAATTAACGCCGGACGAACGACATTGATGTTCATTTGGATTGGAACACAGTCAGTTCAGGCTCCTCAACAAAATGTGTTTGAGTGTGTGTGTGTGTGCGCGCGCGCGGTGCAAATTATATGGAT